TTTAGGGCTTCAGGGCTTTAGGGTTAAGTGAGTCCCCAGAAGCATCGCACCAGAGGTTCTGCACGGCTGCTTACATCATCGTGGCGCAGCTCTGGTCCTTCTCTGTGTGCCCTGGATTTTCTTTGGCCGTCGTAGAGGTTCGTAGGGGTTTTATGATTTGGGGTTTGGGGGTTTGAATTTCATGGGGCTGTTATCACAAGTTTGGAGTGGGGGCTTACAGGATTTACGGGGATTTAGGGTTCAGGGTTTTCAGGGTTTACAGAGTCTTAATAGGGATGTCATGAGGGTTCTATGGATGTTCTATAAGGGTTCTGGTGTGTCTTTATAAGGCTTGACAGGGTCCTCGTTAAGCAGCGAGCTTCAATAGGTGTGTGTGTGTATATCTGTATGTATGTACTATACAGCCATATACACTGTTTATGTATATATACACGTATATACATACATAAATATATATATATATATATGCATACATGCATATTTATGCATACATATGCAAACACACGCTTATATGGTTATAACTAATATCTGTCATTGCCTTGACTGACTGATATAGAGACTAGGACATGCTCTCTTTGTCATGGTATTTGTTTACATCGCAGTTCCTCAGGAAGCCTAAGCCCTAAACCCTAAGCCCTAAAACCTAAACCCTAAACCCTAAGCCCTAAGCCCTAAACCCTAAATTACGCAGGAAGCTTGGCCGAAACTCTGAACCGCTCGCCACACGGCGTACCGCACGGGAGCGCTCGACAGGTCCTCGCTCTTCTTGCGCGTGCGGCGACCCTTTTTTCCCACAAGACGAGTGGAGAAGCTCTAAACCCTAAACGCTAAACCCTAAACCCTAAACCCTAAACCCTAAACCCTAAACCCCAAAGCCTAAACTCTGAACCCTGAAGCCTCAACCTTAAAGTCTACACCCTGAAGCCTAAACCCTAAACCCTAAACCCTGAACGCTAAACCAGAGCGGTTCTCTGAGTTGGCGCGGTCGATGATACCCCCGGAGCTGCAAGAATTCATGGAGAAGCACATTGGTAAGTCGGCCACGTCGCTGCCCTAAACCCTAAACCCTCAGCCCTAAACCCCAAACCCTGAACCCCAAACCCTAAACCGTTCAGATTACTTCCGGGACTGCAGCGGCGCAGCCGGCGGCACTTCAGGGTTTAGGGATTGGTTTAGGGTTTGGGGTTTAGGGTTTGGGGTTTGGGGTTTAGGGTTTAGGGTTTAGGGTTTAGGGTTTAGGGCCGGACGGCACGCCTTGCCAGGGATGGTCCGTTAGGCGGCCCTGCTACTGTACACCCTAAATCCTAAGCCCCTAAACCTTCAACCCCTCCTTGTGTGCATCGCATGTAGGGCCTCTGGAACATGAGGCAGCCGACATGTCCCAAAACTATCCGAGTCCCAACCTTAGTTTTAGGGTTTAGGCTTTAAGGTTTAGGCTTTAGGGTTTAGGGTTTAGGGTTTAGGGTTTACGGTTTACGGTTCAGGGTTCCCGTCGCTAACATCAGCAAACAAAGCGCTTAAGGCTCTGAGCCCAAAACCCTGAACGCTAGGCCCTAAACCGTACCTTAAACTCCTAATTACTAAACTCCTACTGTAAACCCTAACCCCCTCAACCCTTGAACCCTAAAACCTTGAACCCTTAAGCCCTAAACCCTAAATACCCTGAATCCCAAAACCTTCTACCCTTAAAGCCCTGGAGCCCCGCAGCCGACACACCCCAAATTTTGAATATCGGGGCCTCAATAGTTTGGGGTTTAGGGTTTAGGGGCCTTAATAATTTCCTATTCTACTTTACTATTTTTTGGGGGGTTCCTTTTTATAGTGAAAGTATATAAGCTACCCGAAAACCTCATTCTAATCATTGAGGCCCCTACATTAAACCCCAAACTCTTAAATGCTACCATCTGAATCGATGAAAAGGTTTAGGGTTTAGGGTTTAGGGTTTAGGGTTTAGGCTATTTCGGGTTCAGGTCGTTAAGCCAAAACCCCAGCCCTAAGACCTTGAAGCCCCGAGCCCGATCCCACAAAAGCCAGCAAAGGGGTTTAGGGTTTAGGGTTTGGGGTCTAGGGTCTAGGGTTTCGGGTTTAGGGTCTAGGGTTTAGGGTTTGGGGTTTAGGGTTTAGGGTTTAGGGTTTGGGGTTTAGGGTTTAGGGTTTGGGGTTTAGGGTTTAGGGAAACATTCCAAAGCCCAGCCGGAGCTGCCCAGGATTCCTTGGCCTCTGATTTTGGCGGCCATGCCATTCTACTGCATCATGGGGTGCCCTTGCGGGGTTCTACCAGGGTCGGATGGGATTATGGGACTTGGCGATTTAGGGTTCTACTGAGTCATGGGGTGCTGGAAGGTGCTCAGCTTGAAGGTATACTTGTTTGGGATAGGCAAAGACGTTTTGGTAGGGAGGATCTCTGCCGCATTTCTGGGTGCTTTTTGTTAGTTGGCGAATCAAGGGACTTCGTAGCCGAGCTGCAAGAATGGATTGAGCGACGACATTTCCAAATAAATGATGTACCGATAGCTGCATGTACCCTGAACCCTAAACCCTACACCCTAAATCCTGAACCCTAAACCCTAAACCCTAAACCCTTAAAGTCACTTATTGATCTGACGGCTTTTTAAAACCCGACCCCAGGCCTCAAAACCCCACAAAAGCTCGCCTGGCCCAGCGCAGGTACTTCTTCGGCCTCTACGCCAACACGGCAATCTCCTTGGTGACCTACAGCAAGCACATCCTTTCGAACCTGCAGGAACATTGGCTTTTAGGGTTTTTAGGGTTTTAAGGGTTGAGGGTTTAGGTTTAGGGTTTAGGGTTTTGACGCGTGGCTTCTTGTTTGTGATCTCAGGAACGTTCCTCGCGCGCAGCGTTTGTTCATTCTTTCGAGCAATGTCATGACGAAGATGATGATAACTTCGGGTACTATATAGGCCTTAATAATTACCCATCCTATTTTTTTGGGGGGGGTGCTTCATTGTTATAAGTATATTAGTATATAATATACCCCAAAACCCTATTCTAGTCATTAAGGCCATTGCATTGTCTTCCAGAAACTTTATTGGGGTACCTTCGGCTCAGCCCGAAGATTCTGCACCAAGTCCCTACTTGGAGGTTCATGGGTAGTTGTAAGTAGGGTTTAGGGTTCAGGGTTTAGGGTTTAGGGTTTTAGGGTTTTAGGGTTTAGAGTTTAGGGTTTAGGGTTTAGGGCAGTTATTAGGTAAGGCTATAAGTCCCCTAATATGGGCTATAATCACAGTCACCCCACTTATAACCCCACTTGTAACTACCCATGAACCTCCAAGCAGGCCGTAACCGTACCAAACCTTCTACATCAGGGTTTACAGCTTGGGGCTTAGCGTATGCAACCCTGACGGAACACGCACAAAGCCATAAGGGTAGTTCTCTAAATTAGGCTCCCTTTCTGGGTCCCCAATATAGTACGGCACCCTCATTAAAAAAAGAACCCTAAAAGGGATCCTAATTTAGATAACAACCCATAAAGGGAACGGCCCATGAGGATGTCATGAAATAGCTGGATGCGAAGGTTCACCTCGCAGCATGTCCCATGTCATGGCATGCCGAGCCATGTTGGCACAACAACTTTCAGCGAACTCTTGAGTTTGAAGTGTCAGCCCTTACTTTTGTACAATATGGTGAGTTGACTGGGCTTCCGCACTTAAACTCTTCTACAGATGTCGAGTATGGTCTGCGGAGCATCTGCTTCGATCGAGAGTGTGCTTCTCAGTACCAAATCGTGTAAATTCGGTGCCATGGCCCTCCTACTGCTTCCGTCCCACCTTTGAAGATGAACACAGGTGAACCCTACCCGGGACGTGAAGTCACACAGAATCCTGCGAAACACATAAATATGTCCAGAGACTCCCCATTCATTCGCACTACACCTTAACTCCCGCAAGAATCTTTACACCGCGATTTCAGGTGTATTCCGTAATTGAGGCTTTTGGGGGTCTCTACATATGCTTGAAGTCCTTACTTAATCTTACACAACGCTAGAAACCCAAATGATACCCGCATAGCCCTTTACACGACCCTTACATAACAGGCAGTAAACTTTATGACCCCTCATAAATGCCTTTTATGGAAAGCTCATCAACAGGCCCTAGAACCACATCTAAACCCGCAGACCCTAAACCCTGAAGCCCCAAACCCTCGCAAGCCCCAGAACAGTTTAAATGCCGCTCTAAACCCAATACCCTAAACCCCAAACCCAGAATCCTAAACCCTAAACCCTGAACCCTGAATCCGAAAACCGCCGCAGGACATCCAAGCCATGGCCATGGGCACGGCCGTGTCCATCCGAGCCAACAACATGGTCGAAAACTTCGTCGCCAGGTTGGGGGGGGGGGAGAAGGGTCCCTTTTGAGGGTTCCTTATAGGGTTTACGGTTTAGGGTCCCTTTTAGGGTTGCTTATAAAGGGGTCTATAAGGGTTTCTATAGGGTTTCTATGAGGGCGCTATAAGGGGACTGTAAATGGGCTCCTTTTTTCTGAGGTTTACGGGTTCTGGTTGCAACTTACAAGACGGGGAACTTCGTCGCCAGGTTGGAGATCTTGCTTTGGGGTTTGGGCTTTAGGCTTTAGGGTTTAGGGGTTCAGGGTTTGTGGTTTAGGGGTTCTTTGTGCAAGTTACTATATGGGCCTAAAACATGACCAGTACTATTTTGGGGCTCCTTACTACAATGGTAGTACGGTATACCCCAAACCCCTATTCTAATTGTTGATGGCCCCTTCGCGCCAATAGCGGCGGGAGCGGGGGGGGAGAATTCTGAACGACAATGCTCGCTACAGGCGGGAGATCGCCGTGGAGGCCGAGGTGGAGCGGCGAGTTCGTCGGTGGATGGCCCAGCAACAGGAGGAAGCGCGGGTGCTGGGAGAACAGTTTCCTGTGCTGCTCGGTATCTTGCAGCGGACGCTACAGCTCGAGCAGGCGCAGGACCGGATGCAGCAGGCATTCGTCAACTGGACCCAGCGGGCTGCACGTGAGCGGAGGCGTGAAGCGGCTGCGGCCGCCAACCCGAGGCAGTGGTCGCATGCTGCTGGGCAGATCACTGCCTAAAGTGGGGGGGCCGTGACGCCAAGGCCCGGCTACGCTCCTGTGACACCGAGGCCCTTGTCAGCTGGCCGCTTCTGAGTTCTTGAAGGGTCTTCTCAAGCTAATGGGGTTTAGGGTTCAGGGGTTTAGGGTTTGAGTTTAAGGTTTGGGGTTTGGGGTTCACGATTTGAGTGTAAGGTTTAGAGTTTGGGGTTTAGGGTTTGGGGCTTTGGGCTTGGGGTTTGGGGTTTGGGGTTTAGTAGGTGCTTCTTCGAACCCGTCAAAGGTTTAAGGTCAGATTGCGGAGCCTTGGTTCTCAGGGCTTAGGAAGACTTGTTGTGGGCTTGGGCGTGCACTAGGTGGCTCTCCGAATCCAATAGCGTTTTGGTTTTAGGGTTTAGGGTTTGGGGTTTAGGGTTTAGGGTTCAGGGTTTGGGGTTTGGGATTTGGGGTTTAGGGTTTAGAGTTTGGGTTTGTGGTTTAGGGTTTAGGGTTTGGGGTTCAGGGTTCAGGGTTCAGGGTTTAGGGTTTCGGGTTTAGGGACTAAGGAGCCTAGGTTTTGAGAGGTTTAGAAGACTCGTCGCCAGGTTGCGGGCGTACGAAGGTTATTGTCAGAACCCACTAAGGGCGAGGGTGGATCGGGAGCTTAGGCAGCCCGAAGAGGCTTTGGGTTTAGGGTTTGGGTTTAGGGTTTAGGGTTCAGGGTTTAGGGTTTTGGTTTAGGGTTTAGGGTTTTGGTTTAGGATTTAGGATTTAGGGTTTAGGGTTTAGGGCTTGCGCAAGAGGGGCTTTTGTTTTTTTTATGGTCTTCCCGGCACTAGGGTCAAGGTGTCTGGGTGAGGGAGCCCCGATTCACTATTGGGGCCCTTCCCAAACCCGTTTAGGGTTTAGGGTTTCCTAGCAGCCCTACACGCTAAAAGCCTATAAACCCTGAACCCTAAACCCTAAACCCTAAACCCTAAACTCTATAAGCCCTAAACCCTAAACCCTAAACTCTACAAGCCCTGAACCCCCAGACACTCTCGGAACTGAACTCTGAAGGTATCATCGTCAAGTTCACGCCGCAGTGAGGACCGCCATCGCACACAGAGGGGTGAATTTAGATAATATAGGGGCCTTAATGATCAGAATAGGGTTTTGGGGCCCGTTATACTATAGTTATAACAAGGAACCACCAAAATAATATAGGTAATTATTTAGGCCCCTACATTATTTGGGGCGCTCATTGCTACTTCCCGTGATCCTTTAGGTAGACGTAGACACCCAGATCGAGAGTGCTGATCAATTGGCCCTAAACCCCGAACCCCAAAGCTTAAACTCGAACCCTAGACCCCAAACCCCAAACCCTAAACCCCAAACCCTAAACCCTAAACGCTAAACCCTGAACCCTAAACCACAAACCCTAAACCTAGATAGCCAATGGGAGCGCTCTAAACGTCTTGGCCTGACCTGTTTGGTCAGAGAGCAGCGGCCGCTTGCTAGGATATGGTTTTAGGGTTTAGGTTAGGGTTTGGGGTTTAGGGTTTGAGGTTTGGGGTAGGATATGGTTTTAGGGTTAAGGATTCCCTATAAGTAAGCCCTCAATCCCAAGCCCTAAGCCCTAAACCCTAAACCTCAGAACCCTAAACCCTACAAAAACTCATAAGCCTTCAAACCCTAAACCCTGCAACAAGCCTTAAACCGTAACACAAAGCAATCAACCTGAAACCGAGGGTCTTGCCAGCTGGGACGATGTCCACAGCAGATTCCCGCCATGATCGTAGTTTTGGGTATCAAGTCGTCCTTAAAGCAACCCCAAACCCTTAAAGGAACTCTTAAAGCAACCAATAAAGGAACCCTTGAAGGAAGCTCAAACCCTACACCGTAACCATGACCCTAAACTTGTAGGTGTTTGCCGGGTGTGTGTCGTTCAGGGTTTATGGCTTGAAGGGTGGACCTACTTAAAGGATCATGGGGCTAAGCAAGTAAGGTTTTAAGTACCTTAGTTGGGGTTATAAGTAATTAGAAATTATAAGTACAGTTAAACAGCTACCCTATTTTTAACCCCAGTTATTAAGTCCCATGATCCTTTAAGTAGGATTAGTTGAAACTCTGTTCTTAACAACGCAACGCCCCTAATCCAAAAACCCTTAAGATCTACGCAAACCCGAAGCCGTAAACCCTAAGCCCTCAAACCCTAGGCCCTAAATCCCAACTCCTGAACTTAAACCCCCAAACCGAAGCCGTCAAACCCTAAGCCCTAAACCCTAAAGCCCTAAACCCTGAACCCTAAAACCCTAAATCCTAAACCCTAAAACCCTAACCTAAGCCTTCAAACCCTAAGCACCAAGCTCCGAGCTCGAAGCCCAGAGCCCTGAACCGGACAAGGCGTGGAAAAGCCATGTTACGTTTTTGCCGGCGAAGTGGCTTTAGGGTTTAGGGTTTAGGGTTTAGGGACGATTGCCAAATTTCCACGGCCAGAGCTACCGGAGGCACCGCCAACACCTCAAATTTTAGGAGAAACCCCGTTTGGGGTTCACGGCGCCTGGCACCCAAAACAGGATGCGGCGGGCACGTCGGGTATCTTTGAGCTTTACTTGGAGTTTCAGGTCCCCTGAAGAGGGGAAGGTGGGCCTTGTGGAAGACTCGTGGCCTATCCCAGGACATCCCGCCGTACCCTAAATCCTGAACCCTAAACCCTATACCCTAAACCCTGAACCCTAAACCTGGAACCCTAAACCCTAAACCCAAAGCCTTGCTCTTGTGAGCGACCGTTGCGGCCGAAGCTTCTCGCCCGGAGCCCAAAACAGAAAAGCCCGTATGGAACCCTTACATAAACCCTAAACCCTGACCGCGAATTTCTAAATCCTAAGCCCTAAATCCTAAGCCTTGAACCCTGAACCCTGAACCCTACACCCAAAACCCAAAACCCTAAAGCCTAAGCTCAAAGTCCTGAAAGGAACCCCTATAGGCACCCTCTAAGTCGAATTTCTCCCCTCCAGGACCCGTACCCTCGTGAACGCCATGAGCCGAGCCTGGGCACAGTCCAGGTGGGGAATCGAAAGAAGCCTGGTTTAGGGTTTAGGGTTTAGGGTTTAGGATTTTTGGGGTTTTGGGTTTTTTGGGGTTTTTAGGATTTAGGGTTTAGGGTTACTACAATATCAAAAAGGAATACTTGTTGTTAACTATGACTACTATAGTTATATATGTATATATACTTATAGGGTGTAGGGTTATTACAAGAACTAGAAGGAATACTTATTAGTAAGTATAACTAGAAAGAGTAGTTATACAACTGCCTTATACTCGCAATGATTGCCAAAGTTACTCCATAGGGCCTCAGGGTTCCTGCTATAATTTATAATTAGAGTAATATGTGCCCCGAAACTACCCTAAACCCTAAACCCTCTGCAGGCTTTAGGTTTTGTGGGTTAGGGTTTAGTTCAGGGTTTACGGGTTTAGGGTTTAGGTTTAGGGTTTAGGGTTTAGGGTTTAGGGTTTAGGGTTTAGGGTTTAGGGTTTAGGGTTTAGGGTTTAGGTTTTGGGTTTTAGGAGTGAGGGTCTTTATAAGGCTGTACAGGTGTGAAATTTTAGGGTTTAGTGTGTAGACCTCTAGGGTTTCAGGGTTGACGTGTTCACTGCGAATTGGACTGGGCTCTTGCAGACATGTTCTTCTCGTGTTTAGTGGCTCAAGGTCTCTGTGCACATATACACTCTTGTGTTTGTGCACATATATACATATGTATACATATATGACTCATAGCACAAGTAGGTACGGTTTCGTTTATTTTGCTTTTGCCTTGGGCGCTTTCGCAGCTTTGATACTTCACGTTTCCCCAAGGTTGGCTACAGCCCCCCCGCTCCATCACACTTCAACAATGTGTATAATATAGACATATAAGGCTTTTAACTGTAAGCTTGTCATAGATTGTTACTTTATGGGGGGCAGTACCAAGCTTATGTCCATACTCATAGCAACCATGGCTATCCCCCTTTCGAAGCTGAATGCCGCTTGTACGATTTTCAAGCAAGCTGTCAGTGAAGAACTCGTGGATATCCCGTATCGGGAATTCCCGACATACACAACCTTAAAGCCAATGCATTCCGTTTAAGGGTTTGGGCTGCAAAACCACAATGGTGCTATCGGGGCTCCCTAAACCCTAAACCCCTAAACCCCTAAACCCCTAAACCCCTACACCCCTAAACCCCTAAATCCCTACACCCCTAAACCCGTAACCCTAAACCCCAAGACTGGGCTCTGGGTTTTCTCTCTGCACCAGGATCTTTCTCACCTTTGGCACGCTGACGCTCCGAGCCTGCATTTATGGGCGGGGTCTCCGGGGAGGAGAATGCCTAATTCAGTACTAATAGGGGTTTAGGGTTTAGGGTTTAGGGCCTTAGGGCATCGGGGTCACTTCGGGAAACCGGTCAAAAAAGTATACAAACCGTTGCAAACTGGCCCTTTTGTTGAGGATATTTGCGGCTCCTCGTTAGGGGGTCGAGTGTGTTTTCCAGCCACCAGCAAAATCCCGCACTTTTCGGGGAGCTCACGGATGTGGCTTCCGAGCAACCCCGTTTAAACTGTCAGACACTAAAACATTTATTCGGCACTGCAGTTCCGAGTGATCTTGAAAAGATCAACTTCAACCCTAAGCCCTAAACCCCAAAGCTCAACCCTAAGCCCTAAACCCTAAACCCTAAACCCTAAACCCTAAACCCTAAACCTTAAACCCTAAACCCTGAGGATTTAGGGTCTGAGCTTAGGGTTCAAGGCGTGCAGGGTTCAGGGCCTGTCAGGAGCGTAGACTGTAGGGTTCAGGTTTCGTAAGTTGCCCTAGTAAGGATTATTGACTAAAGATCCCTATCATGGTGACGGAGGGGTTTAGGCGTTTAGGGTTTAGAGATGGAGGGGTTTAGGGTTCAGGGCTTCAGGGCTTTACAAGTTAGGGTGTAGGGTTTGGGGTTTAACACCCCCTAAACCCCTAAAACATTAAGTTTTCTATCCTTAATCCCCTGAACCATTAAGTTTTCTATCCCTAAACCCCTAAACCATTAAGTTTTCTATGTATAAGAGTTCGGGCTGAAGACTGGGCCCTGAATGCCACTAGCCTGGGTTCTTGTTCAGAAGTTCATTTTATTTAGGGAATAGGGTTTAGGGTTTAGGATGTAGGGTTCATGGTTTAGGATTTGGGATTTAGGGTTTAGGGCTTAGTAAGTTGCCCTAGTAAGATTATTGACTAAAGATGCCTATCATGGCAACTTATTTCGCAAATTCCTCAACAAGAGCCCAGTACGGAGCCCGAAGTGCTTGAAAGGTTCGGGGCCTTCTCGCCTGAAATGATACATGTTATCGGGTTTCCTTAAACAGGGTTTCTAGGAGGAATTCGAAGATTCAGCAGCAATCTCCCCTGGCTGGGTCCTTGTTGGAGACAAGTTTACACTTTTGTTATAATAAAACCCAATAAGGACTAAATAAAACCGTTTTCTATATTGCCCCAACAGGGAACCAGCCCTGTGTAGTCCCGATACAGCTATGCCTTCAGGGCCGTTGGGTTTGACTGTTTACTGGTCTTGGGCTTCGCGTGTAGGTTGTGGGGTTTAGGGTTTAGGGTTTAGGGTTTAGGGGGTTTTTGGGTTGCATACACGGCCGGGGATCAAGGTCAACAGACAGCTGAGGCAAGAACTCGTACGAAGTCCAAGAAGCTGCAAGCATTATCCCATGCAGCCCCGACTAACCCCCTAAACCCTAAACCCTACACCCCCTTTGTTTCCCTACACCCTGAACCCTAATCTTAGAACTACTTATCCCCCACAAGCTCAAGTCACTCTAGTCCCAGTGCCCTTAGCCTTAAAAAAACACGCGCTCTCCCTAAACCCTAAACCCTAATAGCCCAAACCCTTCTAGAACCCTTTATAGAACCCTTCAAGAGAACCTCCAAGCCCTACACCTAAAGCCTAAACCCAAAACCCAAAACCCTAAACCTCAAACCCTAACCCCTAAAGTAAGCCCTAAACCTCAAACCCTAACCCCTCAAGAAAGCCCTAAACCTCAAACCCTAACCCCTAAAGTAAGCCCTAAACCTCAAACCCAAACCCCTAAAGTAAGCCCTAAACCTCAAACCCTAACCCCTAAAGTAAGCCCTAAACCCTAAACCCTAACCCCTAAAGTAAGCCCTAAACCCTAAACCCTAAACCCCTAACCTCTAACCCCTAAAGTAAGCCCTAAACCCAAATCCCTAAACCCTAAACCCTAAACCCTAACCCCTAAAGTAAGCCCAAAACCCTAAACCCTAAACCCTAACCTTTATAGTAAGCCTTAAACCTAAAACCCTAAATCCTTCTCGATCCCTTATCGAACCCGGCACAGAAGGGAACCCCTGGCCCCAAACCCAACTCCCCAAGCCGGACTGCTTTAGGGTTTAGGGTTTAGGGTTTAGGGTTTAGAGTTTAGGGTCTAGGGTGTTGGGGTTTAGGGTTGTGGTGGTTTTGGTTTTGGGTTTTAGGGTTTACGGTTTAGGGTTTAAGTTGAATGTAGGGGCCTTAATAATGAGACTAGGGTTTCGGGCTCCATTATACTATAACTTTACTAAGGAACCTGACGGAATAATATTGGCGATTCTCTAGGGTTTAGGGTTTCGGGTTTAGGATTCTCTAGGCTTCTAGATTACATGAAGTTTCGGGGCTAGTAAACCACCCTGGCCCATTACGCAAATGCGAACCCCAGCACCCTGAACCCTAAACCCTGGACCCTAAACCCTAAACCCTTAAATCCCAAGCGCTTATTGGGGTTTAGGGTTTAGGGATTGTGTAAATCCCCAGCTCATCTCAACTCCAAACCCTGAAGCCAGAACTTCTAACCCCCCCTCCCCTGGCGCAAGGGGTTTAGGGTTTAGGGCTTAGGGCTTTTGGTTGAGGATTTAGGGTTCAGGGCCTTGGGTTTGGTTTTAGGGTTCAGGGTTTAGGGTTTAGGGTTTAGGGTTTCGTGTTTAGAGCAGAATCAACAAGCGCACGGAATCCAAGCTACAAGCCGCACGACTACAGAGTGAGGTGCCTCTTTGCCATCGGTGGAATGTGGACGGGCATGCCCCTGGGAACCCTCGCAGCAATCATCACGCTGCCTCTTGGACCGTTTTAGGGCTAAGGTGTAGGGCTCAGGGCTTAGGGTTCAGGGTTCAGGGTTTAGGGTGAATGAGGTTTAGGTTTTCTGCTTCAATGGTTTGTTTAGGGTCGAGAGTCGTAGGGCTCTTGTTAGGTATGAGGGTTTGGGATTCGGGGTGTTGAGGGTTTGGATAGAGTTGCGGAGTGTCAGGGGTTACAGTGATAAATTCATGAGGTTTGTGCAGCCCCTACATTAAACCCTTCGCCACTGTACTAGCTACTCCTCAAGAAGACACGATTTCCCGAATAGTGACTGCAGCTAATGTAATCAGTTATGTTGCAACCCTAAACCTTAAACCCTAACCCGAAACCCTAAACTCTAAACCCTAGACCCTAAACCCTAAACCCTAAACCCTAAACCCTAACCCTAGTCCCTAAACCCTGAACCCTAATCCCAAAACCCTAAACTGTGAGGGCTTTCGGGTCGAGCACTGCAAGTTTAGGCATCAGGGCTCGCAAGCCCCGAAACTTGAGGGGAACTGCCCCCCAGCCTGTAAGCAGCCCTAAGCCCTAAACCCCAAGCCCTAAACCCTCAAACCTCAACCTTAAAACCAATCCCCAAACCTTAGCGTGAGGTCCTTCACCCAAATGGTGGAGTTTGACAATGTGTCCGGGCCCTGGAGCTTGCCACGACCCTGAGTATCCTAAAGGTTTACTTGTAGCCGGAAAGATCTACCTTTTGTTAAGGAAGTATATTGACGGGGTTTAGGGCTTAGGGTTTAGGGTTTGGGGTTTAGGCCTTGGGGTTTGGGGTTTGGGATTTTGGGTTGAGGGTTTAGGCTACCTTTTGTTAAGGAAGTATATATAGCAACCATAATAAGGAAGCCTAAGAAGGTAGGTCTTTTCGGCTACAAGTAAGCCCTAAACACTAAACCTCTCTATCATATGTATAGTTAAGCTATTCTTAATGACTTTAGCTATTTGGGACCCTAAACCCTAAACCCTAAACCCTAAACCATTTGGGTTGCTAATCTTCGGCGGTTTCGGCCCAAATTTCATGCTTGCGGTTTCGGGCTCAGTGTTCGGGCTTTGGTCATGTTTTTTCCTTGCGCGACTTTTTCTTTGTTTCCCTAAACCCTAAACCCGAACCCTGAACCCTGAACCCTAAACCCTAACCCCTAAACCCTAAACCCTAAACCCTAAACCCTAAACCCTAAACCCTAATTTGTGGTTCCAGGGTGGGGGTTGGGGATCGTCACGAACCATGGTTTAGAGCCCTTCTCAGGGTTTCGGCCTTGGGGTTTCGGCCTTCGGGTTTCGGCTCCAGGGTTTCGGCCCCAGGGTTTCGGCCTTAGTGTTTCAGGCTTAAGATTTTGGGGCTTCTAGGTTTTTTTTGGAGTTGGGGTTTGGGCTTCGGGGCTTGGGGAAGATGCTTTGTATTGTCTTAACGTTATGGGATTCCTTGGGCGGGTGGGTTTTTCCTAAATCCAAACTGCGGCTGCTGGCTTGACTGGTGACTGCTCGATCCGGAGCTGCTGAACCCTAAACCCTAAACCCCAAATCCTAAATCCTGAACCCCAAACCCTAAACCATCTATGCCCCGAATGCGTTTCAAGTGCCATTCATGGCTGCAGTTGATCGACCCAGATGGATCTTGGTTGGGGACCACGTGACTCTGTCGTTTCAGAACGAGTCGCTAGACAACTTCTTGGTGCGTCGAGTCAGCCTTCTACCAGAAGGCACTCACTTGCTAAGTCTCGCCGCCAAGTTCCTGAAGGACGCTCGCACGCACCCGCTCGGAGCAATCATCTTCGGGCAAAACTCGATCACAACTGTGATCAGGCTGCTGATCGCCAGCATGCCAATCGTTCGAACCCAACCAATCCAGGTCTCAACGATGGCTGGGTGGTTTGGCGTGAATGCAACTCCCCTGGACCTCACCTCGGTGGAGGACGTGCTCCCCATGATGCATTCATTTTACAAAGTCTCGCACTTGACCCCCACCATGTTGGCATCCCCACGCATTGCGTCGGCGGGGTCTTCGCCTCTGGAGCCGCAAATGAAATCGATGATGGAGCAGGTGAATGTTGCAGTGGAACTCTATGGGTCCACTGGAGTCTCCACAACAACAAGTACAACCTGGTGATGTCCTGGACCAGCATGACTCGAAACCCTAAACCCAAACCTTAGTGAGGTCTTTCACCCAAATGGTGGAGTTTGACGACGTGTCCAGGGTCTGGGGTTACATTGAAAAGGTTCATGTAAGGTTACTACGGTATGAGGATACTACAAGGGTATAGTCTTTTCCATTTTGGGTATGGGCTGAACAGTTCGAGGTTTGCAGATCTGGGGTTTTGGACCACAGGGCTTAGCATGCGAAGTTGGGAAGTCTCCCTCCAGATTTCAGATGCTTTCTAGCTGCACTAGAACGCCATTGAAGCTATTTCAAAGCATTCAAAAATCGTATCGCAGCCCATAAACCCTCAACCCTAAACCCCAAGAACCTAAACCCAAAGCCCTAAACCCCCCAAAACCTAAACCCTGATTGTAAAGCCCTTCTGAAAAGCATCTTGCAAGAGCCTTGCAGATGCTTGTGGACCCCTCGAAACATGTGTTCTTAAGGGGTTCTGGTGTGGGTTGCAATGCTACTATAGAAGCCTAAATAGTGACCTATGGTGTTTTGGGGGTTCCTTATTATATTGAAAGTATAATCTACCCCAAAACCCCAGTCTAACTATTAAGGCCCCTAAACCCCACACCCTTATAGTAGCCCTTATAGAACCCTTTAAGGAACCCTTGAAAGGAGCCCCAAAACCCTATCCCCAGATTACCTCAACCCGAAGTGCGTCTGAAGGTCCTTTGGCATCACGACGCTGATCTTTGCGGCTCGCCCTGCACCAGCCCCCTTGAAGCTGAGCCCTTGTAAGGGTTTAGGGTTTAACCCTAAACCCTAAACCCCTAAACCCTAAACCCTAAACCCTAAACCGTGTGGTAGGGCGTCCTTTGAAGAAGGACCATGAGGTTTCTCTATGCATGGTCTCGAAAGGTGCCATACGTGTTTTAGAAAATCTAGAAGGAAGATCTGTGGGGTTTCTGCAACTTAAGGATACCTTTAAGCGTCTTTGTTACAAGGGTTTAGGGTTTAGGGTTTAGGTATTCTTAAAGGTATTTATGAGCGTCAGCTATCTTCTGAGACTTCTATAGTGTAGACTCCTGATTGAGATCCTTGTTAAGGGAAGGTGTTGATTTATCGTGGGTGAGCTGAATCAGTTGCATCCTAAACCCGCATCCCCGCCCTCACAAACAAAGTCCAGTAGGTGAGCTCACTCCTCCAAAGCTTCTTCGTCCGAAAGCCTAGGAAGCGGCCGGTTGTTTAAGCTCGGTAATAGTGTTTGTTTTTCTGACCGGTTTTAGGCATAGTACATAGTTTGAGATTTCCAATAACAGGTTTCATGGGTCGTACAAGGACTGTGAGGCTTGAAGGTTCTAGGCCCTGGCTGAGGGTTTGGGGGTTTGGGGTCTTAGGGCTTCAGGGCTTTAGGGGTCTAGGGGTTAGGGTAGTGTCGGAGTTCCCAAACCCCAAAACCCTGAACCCTCAGCCCTAATCCCTAACCCCAAAACCCTAGACTCCAAACCCTAACCCCTAAACCCTAGACTCTAAACCCTAACCCATAAACCCTGAACCCTAAACCCTAAGGGTCTACGGCTTTGGCATGTTTAAGGGGTTGGGATTGGGGAAAGCAGGGGATCGGGGTTCCTTGGTGTTCCACGCTTAGGGATTCACGGCAGACCATTCGGTTTCGGTTTAGGGTTCAGGGCTTAACAATATTATAGGGTTCTATGATAGGGTTCCCTTTAAAGGTACTGTAGGGTTCTATGATAGGGTTCCCTTTAAAGGTACCATAGGGTTCTATGATAGGGTTCCCTTTAATAGTATTATGGGGTTCTAGAATGGGGTTCCCTTTGAAGGGGATAGGGGGTTTAGGGGTTCAGATCTAGGGCTGTAGGGTCCAGGATCTAGGTTCTATAAAAGGGGTTTAGGGTTTAGGGGTTTAGTGGTTTAGGGTTCAGGGTTTAGGGTTTAGGGTTTAGGGTTTAGGGTCTAGGGGTTTAGTGGTTTAGGGGCTTTG